GAATCACGACCTGAGTTGAAGGCAGGTGCCCAACCCTGAGCCACCCAGGCATCCCAGTATGTCTGATTTCAATCCAGTATCATAGGATTTATCTTGGTTTCCATTTCCATATTTGTAACTCCATTTTCCATCTATGAGTAACATTTCTCTGATGATCTTCAAGAATGTACTAATTTCCTCTAATCTATTTTAAACAGAAAGAAGTTTCAAACTTTCTAATTTAAACAACTATGAAAAACATACCTCTTAACCATAACGCATTTTTTACAATTCTCTATTTCTTTGGACTGAGAATATACTGTCAAATTTTTACAATTGGAAATTTATATTTCCACTTAGGATTTTAAAGATTTTATTAATTTTAGAAAAAGAGGGAGCAGGAGAAGGGAGAGAAAAACATAGACTCAGAGCTGAGCACAGAGCATGATATGGGGCTTAATCCCATGACTCAAGGTCATGACCTGAGCCCAAATCAAGAGTCTAATGCCCAAATGACTGAGCCACCAGGGCACCACCCCACTTAGGATTTTAAAGTACATGAAAAATCTACACTCCCCTTAAAATGACAATAAATCATCAGAAAATGAAACGTTTTTACCTTTTCTTTAAAGGTATCAGAAACTTGTGACAAAACAAGAAAAAAAATTTTAAATAACTAAAAATGAGTATGACACTCCCTTCTTAGCCTCAACTTTGTTTTTTTCACAATGTCTAATATACAATTGAAATTTACAATAGAGGGGGAAAAGCAGAAGAATATAATCCGTTGAGAAAGTAAAATCAGTTAGTGGATATCAACCTAGAGATCATCCAGATTTTTAAATTATCAGTAAAGTGCCACCTGGGTGGCTCAGTCTGCTAAGCATCTACATTTGGCCTAGGCCATGAACCCAGGGTCTTGGGATTGAGTCCCATATCAGGCTTCTTGCTCAGTTGGGAGTCTGCTTCTCCCTCTCCTGCCTCTACCCCCACTTGTACTCTCTCTTGCTTTCTCTCAAATAAATAACATCAAAAAAATTATCAGTAAAGAGCATTAAAGCAACTATGAAAAATAATTTAAAATACCTATAGGAAAAGATAATGTAATGAATAAAGCAATGGGAATATAAAAGAGATTTGGAAAAATTCAAGTCACTACGAATCATCTACAGTAAAACACAGAGTAGAGAAAGATTGAAAGAAAATGAACTAAGACCCAACAACTTGTGAGGCACTGTCAATTCCTGAAACATATATGTAATTAGAGTCCTAGAAAAAGAGAGTGAATTGTGTGGAAAAAAACAGGAATTATTTTCAAGTGACTTTCTAAATTTGATTTAAAAAGGTCTATCCACTACTCTACGAAGCTCAGAAAACCATAATCAGAATAAATACCAAGTAACTACATTGAGGTATATCATTGTCAAACTGCAGCATCTTAAGAAAAAGAGGGGAAAAGAGTAAAAACAATTAGATATAAAAGACATGGTAAATCAAGAAAACAATTATAAGAATGAAAGTTCTTTACTGAATTATCTTATTAGTTCTTCGGACTCTGCTTTTTTTTTTTTTTTTCCTAGGTAGATGATTATATCATCACCTGCTAATCAACTCATTTTGATTGATTTGAAAACATTTCCTGTTTTCCTGAGTTGATTTACAGTAAAGAATGAATGTTTCTATATTTTCTATTAGAAACATTGGAGCCTAACTCATAATAGAATATTATTTTTCTAGTCCCAAAGGCTTGAATTCTATATCAAGTGAAAATAATTTTTTAAAGATATTTTCAATGCATCTAAATAAAGATCTTTTAGATAAATGAAAACTGGGACAATTTAGTGTCATCAGACTTGTAGTGCAAGAAAAACCAAAGAACTTTATTCCAGTTGAAGGATATTAATACCAGATAGAAGTCTACTTCTTCAGAAATGAATAGAGACCCGAAATATGAAGGGGATAAATATAAAATAAACTTTTACTTTCAGAAGTATTTTTTTCTTTTAAAAAATTCTTGATTGGCCGACATTGAGTGAATAGAATTATGCTGTTGTAAAGCCCTTATAATATTCATGAAGTAGTATAATTTTCTTTGATGATACTGTTATTAGTCAAAAATCAATATTTAATCTCTAGACAGAGTAGCATACTTCTGTGCAGAGGCCAAATCTGGTTTGTGGCTTGTTTTGTATGGATTATGAGCTAAAATTCATTTTTGCATTTTAATCAATTGATTTTTTATTTTTTTTATTTTTTTTTATTTTTTATTTATTTATTTATGATAGTCACACAGAATGTGAGAGAGAGGCAGAGACATAGGCAGAGGGAGAAGCAGGCTCCATGTACCGGGAGCCTGATGTGGGATTCGATCCTGGGTCTCCAGGATCGCGCCCTGGGCCAAAGGCAGGCGCTAAACCGCTGCGCCACCCAGGGATCCCTCAATTGATTTTTTAAAGGAATATATGATAGAAACTATATATGTGACTTTTAATACCTAAGATACATAATATCTGCCTCTTTACAGAAAAACAAATTCTGATCCCTACTCAAGAAGAACCACTTAAAAAATGCATTAATATGTATGTAAAAAGAAAAAGATGTAGTTAAAATGTTAATGAATGAAATATTTTTTTTAAGACAATGAAAAGATTCACTCAAAAGAATAGAGGGGGCGCCTGAGTGTCCTGAGTGGTTTATCCTGAGTGGTTGAGCATCTGCCTTTCGTTCAGGTTGTGATCCCGGGATCCGGGGATTGAGTCTCTCATCAGGCTCCTCACAGGGAGCCTATCTCCCTCTGTCTGTATCTCTGCCTCTCTCTGTGTGTCTCTCATGAATAAATAAATAAAATCTTAAAAAAAAAACAGAGAATATATATATATGTGTAGAATTAAAGCCACACATAATTTTACATACATTAATATATACTTCAATAAATTTTAGAACCCAGATAAAATGAGTAAATTTTTAAAAATATGAAGCACAAAAGTTGATGATGAAATAAAGCACAAAAATCAGCCTTGTAGTTTATTAAATAATTAAAATGAGACCATGTCACTTTTTCTCAAACTAGTCAAACCAAGATATTTTTTTTCAGGTAAGTTCTGGAGCATCTTAAGGAAAAAAATAATAATTGGTTTCTTCTATAAATCATTATACAAAATTAAAAAGAGTTAAGGCTGTCACCTCATTTTATGAGGCTGTATAATATTAATTCAATAGTCAGGTAAAAAATACAATAAGAGAAAATTAACGGTTCATCTCCCTTCTGACTATAAGTAGAAAATCCTAAACAAAATTTTGATTGAGATAAAAGGCCTTTTATGAAATTTAACACCCTATAGTATAACAGTGGTTAGCAAAGCTAGAAATTAAAGTGGTCTTTCTGACCTGGCAAAGGTTACATACCAATACATTCACCAAGTATGTTACTAAAAGGATATTCTTTTAAGATAGAGATAAACTGGGATCCCTGGGTGGCGCATCGGTTTGGCGCCTACCTTTGGCCCAGGGCGCGATCCTGGAGACCCGGGATCGAATCCCACGTCGGGCTCCCGGTGCATGGAGCCTGCTTCTCCCTCTGCCTGTGTCTCTGCCTCTCTCTCTCTGTGTGACTATCATAAATAAATAAAAATTTTAAAAAAAGATAGAGATAAACAAAAAATTTCTCCACCAGCGCAGTGACTGTTCAACATACCACCAGAACACTGGAGATCTTGGAAGAGATTTTAAGAAAAGCAAAAGAGTTACAGAAAATAAACAAGAAAAAGTCAAATGAGTTGATTCGCAGGTGATATAATCATCTACCTAGAACAAAAATAGGGGAGTCCACAAAGAACTAGTAAGATAATTCAGTATATGTGCCAGATAAAAGATGGATTTATGACAGTTTCAACTAATGAAATTTAAATAAACAAAAACCAATAAAAATTTTTATAAAAGTTACTACACATTAATACCAACAAAACTGTAAATAAAATATGAAGAAATCAACCAAGAATATACAAGAAAACGTTTAGAGAAAACTTTTGAGAAAACTTTTGAGAAAGCTTTAAAATTTGATTAGAAAGCAGACAGGATATCCTGAACATATAGAGAGATATTTTGTACTTTTGTGTTGTACATTTTATATTATAAATATATCAATGATCACCAAAAATAAAATTAGAAACTCAGTGCATTTTTAATTCAGCTTTTATTTGACTTATTTGAAGAACTTAACCAACTTACTTTAAACTTTACATTAAGAATACAACTTCACTAATAGTTAAATAAAAATTAAAGATGGAAGATTTGCCTCATTAGGCTATAAAGACATATTCAGATTCAGTATTAAAAATATTATACTAAAAAATATACTGTCTCAAGAATAGGCAAGAAAGCAAAAACAATAGAAATCTCAGAGACAGATAACTATGCATTCAGGACTCAAATTCTCAATATAGATGGCACCATTAATTCAGTGGGAGCTAAGCAGAGTCTTTAGTAAATAGCATCATAAGAATATATAAATAGAAATAAAATTGGATCCCTATCCAAAAGGATGAAGGAACTAAATATGAGAGAAAAAAAAATATGTATTTAAAATGATGGGGAAAAAATATAGGAAAATGCTCTGTGACCAAAGGTGGAACAGAATTTCCTCAGTTTTGAAAAGTATAATTTATAAGCCAATAAGTATCAATAAGATTGATAAGTACATGATAGGTATAAGAGATACATAGATGATAGGTAGAGTACCTCTGTGCTGCATTCTTTTTAAAAATTATTTTATTTATTTATTTTAGAGAGAGAGAACGGGGTAGGGGCATAAGGAGAGGCAGAGAAAGTCTTAAGCAGACTCCACACTGAGTGGAGCCTGACACAGGGATGCATTTCAGGATCTGAGATGACAACCTGAGCTGAAACCAAGAATTAGACACTTAACCAATGCAGCCACCCAGGTGCCCTGTACTGCATTCTTGACACTAAGCATTTTGCTGCTTTATATTCATAACCTAAATTAGATTCTATGACTCTTTCAGGCTTGTTCTGAGCTCAGTCTCCGACTATTTTGCTGCCATGTTTACAAGTGATGTTTGTGAAGCCAAGCAAGAGGAGATTAAGATGGAAGGCATAGACCCCAATGCCCTCTGGGACCTTGTTCAATTTGCATATACAGGTACAGTAAAAGAATTATAGCTTCATGTTGATTTCTTGTAATTTTTAGAATTTTAGCATAAGATTTAAAGCTTAAAAAGTGCTTACTTTGTATCTTTTTTCAGTTGAAAGATTATCTAACAAAATAAAATCAGGTACCTTTTCATTTCTATGGAATTACAAATGTATATATGTATATGTATGCTCTCTTCTTTTCCACAAAAGGTTTAATAAGCTTATAAAAATAAATAGTCAATGGAATGAGCTTGGGAGAGGAGCAAAAAGGTTATTAATTATCAAATAAGAATTTGTTTAATGTCCATCCTTAGAGCATTGGGAAGAGAAATAGATGCTCATTTTCTTTCCTTTTAGAAAGTATGGGTTGGAATAATTATTTCTCCTTGAAATTTATTATTTTAATATTAAAATCTTCACAGAACATTTAATGTGGACCTGACAAACTTAGTTTAAATGGACAATGAAGATACTTAGGGTTATGGAACTGACTACTTTTTGAAATTTTTGTTTTCTGATCTACTATGTTGACATTTTCTAATGGCCTTGCACTACATTATATTTAGTGCATTCAAGTGAGTTTGTCAATTTAGCAAACATTCGCTGGATGTTTCTAAGTATGTGAGTATCAGCTATATCCTTGATGAACAAACTAATGAATAAGATGTCCTTACCTTCCAGAAGTTCGTAGTCCAAGTGGAGAAGAATTAGATGACAGAATAAGTACAGTATAATGTGACACATTAATACAGTGTTGTAAAGCATAAACCTGCTGTTCAGAGCATTATCAGGGTTCACATTCTTTTGAAACATTTTAATAATTTTCAAGATTATTGTGGTAAGGGGAGACATTATAATAAAATCTTGGGATAGAAGCAAAGGTAGATAGTAAGAATTGAAGTAATATTTTTAAAAAAATGGCATGTGGTTCATTTTGCTAGAATTTTCAGTCATGGTATGAAATAAGAAAAAAGGCCAGGGCCTGATTATCAAAGCAGTGGGACTCTAGTTTAAGGAGCTGTGTTTTTGCAGCCTTCCTGGTTATCAGGAAATATGTGGGCATTGTAAAGATCAGCAACTAGAACTAAAAGGCTGTAGGAATAGTAGGAATCTGTCTTCCTGGAGGATTTGGCTTTTCATAGAGAGGAGTTTGCTAATATAACAATCAGTAAATGAAGCCTCTTCGAAGGCTCTGAGTGCTAAATTTCCAAGTAGCAATTTGATGGGCGGATGCAGACATTTCCTAGCCTCAGTTATTTTTATTTTTATTTTATTAAGATGTATTATTTATTGTAAGGACAGAGAGCAAGCACAAGTGCCCTCATGAAGAGAAGGGGCAGAGGGAGAGGGAGAGAGAGAATCTTAAGCAGACTTCCCATTGAGCAAGAAGCCCTACAGGGCAGGATCTCACAACCCTGAGATCATGACCTGGGCCAAAATCAAGAGTCGAGTGCTTAACCAACCCAGGCACTCCTGCCTCAGTTATTTTTTTTTAAGATTTATTTATTTATTCATTAGAGACACAGAAAGAGAGAGGCAAAGACATAGAGCAGAGGGAGAAGCAGGCTCCTCACAGGAAGCCGGATGTGGGACTCGATCCCAGGCCCCTGGGGTCGTGCCCTGAGCCAAAGACAGACACTCAACTGCTGAGCCACCCAGGTGTCCCTGCCTGTTATTTTTAAATTATATTTTTTCAAAACAAATATTGCACTGGACAAAGTTAAGCAAGTAAACATGTATTCAAGGCTGTTGCAATAGGGGAGAGATACAGAATTCAGTCTCTATTTAATTCTGCTGAAACAAAGGGAGGGAGAGATTTTTAGGTGCTAGGATGAGAAAACACAGATCATCTATGTTTGCTATTTGGCTTTATCTAGAAGAAAAGTAGACTTTTTCCTATCTAAATGACATAATGTAGTTTTACAACTTAGAGCAAGGCATCCACTCAAATTGCATTTCTATTCTCCCACAAAAATAAGGGTGCTATCATCCTTGAAGTTGACATTTCAAAGAGAATTCCTCCAAGTCCTTGAGAGCAAGGTTCCTGGGTTGTAAAACTGGCAAAAAGACTTTTAAAATTACATCTCAAAGGGACAGATAGAGAATTTATAATTACACATTTTCCTAAGTAAATAATATGAAAAAAGAGAGACCAAAGATCTAAAGTTCAGGAAGTAGTCTGTTTATATCTTGGTCAGGCTGAAGGACCACTAAAACATCTAGTCAATTTCAATTTGCATACAACCTGAAATAGTAACATAAAGGATTTTTGGACTCCCAGCCAGAAGATAGCAAACATAACCACATTATTGTTTCCTTGAAAGGGAAGAATCATGAAGCTTACATTTTAAGGATCTTTCTAGCAACAGAAAGGCATAATTCCACCCCTTACCTTCTCCATGGCCTGGCAACCTTGCATTTCTCTGCTTCAAAACTAGGTCAAAAGACGCTCATCATCATGCAGCACAAAGTTGGAAGGTGTTTCAAAGCTCCCTGCTGAATGTAACGACCCAGATTTGCTCAGCTTTACAGAGGGCAGACAGGATACAAAGTGGCCTTTCAGTTGCCACTGCTACTTTGGCCTTTGCTGCAAAGTCCATAGCTCCCTGGTGGCTGATAAATTTCTAATCATTAGTTTATAGAAATATTAGATGATCATTTACAAGCTAATATTAGGAGAACCTTAGGCATAATAAAATACAGAGAGAGAGAGAGAGAGAGAGAGAGAGAGAGAGAGAGAAAGGAGAGATCAAGTGAGCAATGACAGAAATGGATGATAGGAGGTATCTGAATATGTGTCCATTTTAGGTAGTGCGCTAGTTAGTTTCTAAGACTTTTCTTGGTAACAGGCTGAAAATAATTGCATCACAGAAGACAGAATATATGAATGAGCAGTAAAGACACATAAAGGGTCAGGTATTTGGTCATATTTTGTTAAATTTTGAGGTTTAAGAGGCTTTGGAGAAATTAAGGAGGATCAACTATGTAAAGAATTGATAGTTAACCATTAGCTGTAGAAGTATTCAGTAGAGATACATAAGATCACTTTAAAATGATTTAAACAGATAAAAACTTCCATGAGACCGGAAAGTCTGTAAGGTTTGAAAGAATCAAAGGGAGCAAATTTATGTTTATTAACTTAGAAATTAAGGAAAAGAATGAAAGGGTAAGGTAGCTTGCAATAAATTTTTGACTAAGATAAGCTTCAGTGATTATAGGGTTTAATAATATTTTGATTTGAAGAATGAGGAATTATCCCTTAAAGAATTCCAGGTAGTAAAATTTGCACATGGTAAGTCATGGGAGACATCTCCTCTGTCTACCCCTCTTTTCCCCTACTCTAGCAAATTAGAATAAGAAGATGTGGGACCAGGGGCCTGGTAGAGCTTCAGTAAGAACTGAAGCACGTATTTACAGGGTTTAATTTTTGTTTTTGTTTTTTGATTTTTGGTAACTAGGAAGAGTGACTTGGATACCCAGGAGGTGACTACAGTGGTGGAAACAGCTTGAAGAAGATAGGACTATTTTTAAAGGAAAAACATATAATAATAAAAAGGTTAATACTAGATGTATGTAATATAAGATCAAGGAAACCAGGTCTTTGTGTTTACAAAATTAAACATTTTTAGAAGTATAAAAGATTAAGATACAACAATAAAAATGATATCTAATTACTACAGTATGAAAATTGGCTTCTTAAAATAGAAGGCACCATGAGGTCGATTTTTTTTACACATCGTCATAGCTCAGGAATGGAAAGGAAATGAAAATTCACACTGTTGTTAGAAATAATTGTATATCTAACATGAGGTTCACATCAATTTTCCAATTTTTAATGAGCTGTTTAGTTTCAAAGTTCTTTTTAAAACTTTTCACTGAATTTTCTTTTCAATTTTTAACAAGAAATCTGAGTACAATCTTAGCTATTCGTGGAGAGCAAAAGATCCAAAAGCAACAGTGCATGTTTTAAAATACTGCCCTTTTATAATTGGTGCCTTACATTTAAGGTTTGAATTTTTGGTTGTAATCTAAAGGATATGTAATTATATGACTGTGTATCAGTTTTTCAAAATCAAACCATAATTCAGCTAACAGTATTTGAGCACATTGCATGAAGAGAGTCCCACTAGGGACTAGAAGATAAAGTATAAATTCAGACTGTATGGATATAGATTAATATAACATAAACCTTTAAACAAATTTGGCAATCAATAAAATTATTAGAACAGGGCATAGTGAAAAAACTCTTAAGATCTGTGTACCACTGTCCACTTTATGACATTCTCAGTTTTATATAGTGTCAAAAGACTTAAAAACAGCTTTTTAAATATTTTCCTACATGTATTAAAGCCTCTGTTCTGTATTTTACTCATCTAAGAGAAAGACACTTGAGATAGTGTTTGTTGAATCTGTAATAAAGCCTATGATTTGAATAATGAAGTCAAGACTGTTCTGGAATTTTCTACAGAACATACTCAGAAGAATAGAATCAGAGAAGAGCTCTGATTCTACATATATGTTTATGGTTTCTCATCATTCTACTTTCATATTACTTAGTTAGAGATGTATAAAACTGTAGTAATTCCATCCCTTAAAAAAAGAAAAGAAAAAAAAAAACATCCCTTACATTATAAATTTTACAGATGAACGTTTTTCCTATGGCTAATTATGTGAAGCAAAGCAGAGGCACCAAAACTATTTTTTAAGAATACATATTTGATATTTCAAATAAGCATTGACAGACTCATCCAAGACAAGTAAGAACTTTGTTGGTCTCCTTTGAATTTACATGGGGGAACAGATTTTTTTTTCAGCATTTAAGAATCTCTGAAGTTCTTAAGGCAGTCCATCAATGAGATAACATAACCTGACAAAGATCAATAGTAAGACAATGAATCTATTACTAGAATGAAACGTCATGACACACATTTAATGGCATTTTCTCTACTGAATCAATGTCCTTTTGTAAAGGTACCCAGTTATGGCGAGGTTCCTTGGAATGGCTTA